GAAACTCTCCTGGGTAAACCAGGACGGTGGTCACCTTATCCAAATGGTTTTTAAAACATCCCGTTTAAGTCTTAAGCTTTAAGATTTCCTTGCTAACTACTTTAGTTAGAAGTCAATAAAACGCGTTATGCCTCTAATGGGTAGTTTTACATTATCTAAATTTAAAATTGAATTAAATTTTATGGTACCTAATAAAATCTTAAGACCATTAAATAAATCCTTTAATTTTATTTGACTTAAAGATATTCTTGTTTTCGGCAACATCTACTAATGAAGCAATTAATAGCTATGAATTATGGGAAACCAACCGTTAGACAGTCGTAATAAAATTTGTCAGCGTTAAAAATTATTCTATAGGACATTATTTTTGGAAAGTCTGAACGGACCTTATAAAATTCAGAGGTCACAAGTCACCTATTAAAGGATTTTTAGATTTATCTATGTGATTTAAGGATTGTGTTTAAAATAAACTTTTGATCATTAATTTATGATAATAAAACTCAAAGAAAGAATGTGTTAAAAAATTAATTAAGAATTCTGTATATCATTGGTTCTTTGCGAGAAAAAATATTTTATTATAATTTATTTGCTAGATAAAATGGAAATTAGTAAATTTTTGTTTTTTAAATTGAGAAACACCTTTCTATTTTCTATTTGTTGTTCAATATTTTAATTTCATAATAATCCTTACAGTGCTATTAGGTATTTAATTATTATTATTATTATCTACAACCTGAAAATGGGACCATTTCAATTTTAAAAATATTAATATTTCGCACCACCCTAATGTACATGAATAAGAAAGCCAAAAATTGCAGAAAATGTATTTTTAACTATCTAGGTACTTTATCTATATTTTAATGTTTAAACCCTAAATCTTTAAAATAAAAACAATTACATAAGGACCGGTTAAAGTTTCAGTTAGTTACCTAGCAGATAATCAAAAGTTTTAGAAATTCTATGCCTTTTGATATTAAAACAATAAACATTTTGTTGACAAAGTTAAATTTTACTTTTAATTAATATTTTGAGAAAGTTAAATTAAAATTTTTATTTTAATAGTCCATTTTATTTAAATGAGTATATCAGCACTAAGACATCTTAAGATTATAATCTTATAAGATTAATTAATAGATACTTACTTAAACAGATTCCACGAAGAAAAACAATAAAAACATTACCTTTAGGTAACATAGTTTTGTATTATAAATGCAGTAACAAGTTAATTTATAAAAGTATTGCTGAAATACACATAATTATTTACTTAGACATGGTACCAAAATTGTTCTTGTGCGAAATTAAATAAGTAAATAGGATTGGTTGAAATCCAGGGGCGTAGCTCCCGGTATCAGCCGTATCAATGATACGGGGCCCCCGATTGGCTTCGACATGCGTAAGCAAAAAACATATTACCAACATGTTACAAAAATTTGAGGCATGAAATTAAATAAATAAATAAATAATATTATTATTTAATTCTTTATACTTCGATTTATTAAATTAAAATTTTCCTGAATACCCTAGGAAGCTCCTGTTCCAACGAGACCGTGAACTGATACGAATTGTTTCTGCCCGCACCTTTCCGCTATGCGTTGTCTGCGGAGCAGTCTGCCCATATTGTTTTGTGCTCTGCGCTGCATAATGATTTTGCCAGACCAAATTTTAAAATTTGCCTGTTCATAAAAAGCTATGTATACCTATATTATTTATTTAATTATAAAAAATTGGTAAATGCAAAAAAATTATACCTTAAAAAATTTATTTTCTTCGCCCAAAATAGACTTTGACCCAGAAATTTTTTTTCCAGCAGATTTTCCCGTATAAGGGCCCCTACCAGATTTGTGATACGGGGCCCACTACGCCACTGTTGAAATCATTTAAAAGTATTAAAAATAACATATCATAGCCCTCAACATGTAATTATTATGTACCTTAAGATTACAATAAAAATATTGTTTGTTTACTTTTATAATAATTATTATGTATGCGTTATTTTGTTAATTATAATTATAAAATTAATATTTAATGTTTATGTAGCTTAATTTTAATTTTTACTATTTTATATTACTTTTTTAAACAACTCCTTTTAATAGCATTTTTTTATCAAAGCCATCTTGTTAAAAAATACTATGAAATTAATTCCATATTTTATACAATTTTTGGTATTTTAAACCGTTGTATCTTCTTCGCAAGGCAAATACATAAACAGTTTTTAGTTTGTATTGAGAAGAACATTCTGATACATTTTGAAGAATTTTAAAAAAAAATGCATTTTTTTCGCCAAAAATGAGAAATTTTCATAATAAAAATGGTATTTCCTGCAATTTGAATACTTTTTTACCTATATGTAATTTCGCTTTTTATATATTTTATATATTTTAATCAATATTTATAAGTAGGTACCTATAGATTTAGTATACTAAATAAAAATATACAGCAAATCAAATTTTCATAGCCTACTACTAATATAAGTGGTAGAAAATTGACATTTTCAGTTAAAACAAGAGTAAATTTAGCACTAAAAACTGCATTTGTAAAAACATTTGTATAATTTTGGGCAAATATTTGGGTAAGGTGGGGCAGGTTCGGACACGTTTTTTCAAAAATTAATATTTCAAAGATAACAAATTTTTTTAGACTTAATGCAAATACTACGGATAGCTTAGTCTATTTCCAACATTTTAGCATTATCTTAAGCAAAAAATATTAAGTGGTTTTCGTTTGGTGATATTTTACTTAAAAAAATGCATTTGTCCGAATCTGCCCCATATTGGGGCACATTCGGACAAGTAGTGAGGTACTTTCGGACAGGCCTGAGAAAATTTAGAACCTATTTATTTTTAGAATGAATAAGAGACTATATTAGAAAAAGTTTATTAAACATTATACCCATCAAAATTGACATTAAATTTAAAGAGCGAACACATCCTTAAAGTTCCTGGTGCTGCCTCTGGTGCTGCTTCGGTATTTTCGAAACTATATCTTCTCTGGAAACAGTCAAAATATCTTGCAAGTCCGGAAAGCGGAAACCGCTTTTATACTTCCCCAAAAAATTTAAGACGTAAGAGCCTTCATTATTGCAAGATTCTACCTTGCCGATATAATGAAGTGTCCTTCTGTTGGTCGGGTATTTGACAAGAAAATAATCATGACAATGGATCACGTCATCATGCAATAGCATGAGCACATCGTCATTGTCTTGAAACTCGTCCAAAGAATCGGAATCAAAAATTTTTGTCTCATGCACAATATTCTGTGGTAAATCTATATCAGAATCCGAGGAGTCACTTTCTATTTTTTTAACTTTTTCTTCGGCGCCTTTCCTTTGCTCTTCTCCCCAACTTTTGTATCATTTTTCTTCACTTTACATTCGCTTTGTAATGCTTTTCTTTTCGTGTTTTTTTTCTCCAACTTTTGTTTTCTCATTGTTTCCAATTCTTGAATTCTTTCCTTTTCCGGTGTGCTTGTATAAATTCTGGATTTACCTTTTACCTTTTTTCTTTTTAAAATAGAACTTTACGTACCATCCCAGAAAGTTAAATCAATCAAAACTGGGTTTTATTTGTAAAATGGGGCACATTCGGACAGTCCGAAGCTGCCCCACCCGATTTGTCCGAACGTGCCCCATGTTCCAGAAATACATAGATATTAAAATAAAAATTCGCACATGGTTAACTGATGCTGTTTTATGAGGTTATGTATCGCCAAAGATATTAATATCTGCCGTAAAAGGTATAAAACTTACCTTACTGGTGTTCTCAAGCCAAGAAAGCTTACGATAGCCCTAATAAAATTTATAAGAATAACTATGTTTTTATATTTTCTCAAATAAATATATTTAACTATAGTTGTCGAGTGATCAAAGTCGCTAAACATGTACGGACCACAGAACTATTAGTGTAGAAGGATATTTACTGTCAATATGGAAACTCTCGTAGCACTCTAAGGCGGTAAATTTGATTTGTCCGGAGGTGCCCCATGTCCGAACCTACCCCACCTTACCCTACATTGTTTTAAGGTTAATACAAAATATTACACGATAGAAAGTATGAATAAACAAAAAAGTTATAAAGGGTTTTTAAAAAGTTTTTTTAGACACCGATTTGGTAATTTTGTATAATAATATAATAAAAAGATATTATTGTGGTTTTTGTTCATCCTAAGCATTGGTATTTACACCCTGAAAGTTTTAAGAAAATCTAATAAGGTCAGCTTTTAATTTTTGTCAAATTTGGTGAAAAATAATAGAATGACTCCATAGATAATTCTATAGATAGATATATCTACACAATTTTAAATGCAAGTCCAGAAGAAATAAATTGGTTATTTTAATTTTATTACTTTTTAAGTTATTTACGTACCGTAAAACGAGTGGCTCACTTTCAAATTTTAGTTCAACATTTTTGTGGTTTTAACAATCATAAACATTAAATATTGTATACCAAAATTTGAGTCTTGAGTTGCTTTTCTTAATAACTGTTATATTACATAGGGCTGTTTCAAAAATAAAAATAAAAAACTGGGTGTGCGAACTCACCCCCTGGTTGCCTGTAACTTTGTCTCACAGTGTATTTTTCGTATAAAATTAAGTCAATATTTTATTTTATTTTTATTAGACACACGACACATAATTTTATCGAGCGCGAAAAGATTTTTCATAAAAAAGTTCACCTGCGGGGTGCAAAGCCACCCGTGTTTACGGTACGTTTTACAAAATCTTTTTTCATTTAATTTTAAAATAAATGCTAATGTCTATAAGTAATAAAAACTAACAACAACCAAATTATTAACAAATTTGTAGGTATTCAACTTTTAACACATTAATTTTGTTGTTTTTCAAATGTCTGTTTTTACATTAAACTATAAAATAACTTTTTATAATATCTAAATAATTCGTAATAAATTACGTAAAATTATCCAAGTAATTATATTATAATTATTATAGTTATTATACTTAATAAGTTTATACGTACGTAAGAACGTTAAAAATATAGCGCGGGCAGATTCAAACATTTCATACCTAGAGGTTGGCATTGAACATCTGATCGCCGTTGAATTTCTCGAGCTTGAACCGTTCAGTTGGCATTACATCACGGTGTCATGGCTTCTAGCGAGTTGACGTTTGAACAAATTTACCTTTATTTTAAAGAAAACGGCGGTGTTGTGAAAAATCGTGATGCTGTGAGTGCGTTTAAACGATATTTAACTGATTCACGTAGCAAAGGTAAGTGCCACACATTTGTATTCCTTTTAAAATTGCTAAAACATCGTTTGTTTACGTTTGTATAACCTTAAACAACCTGTGGAATTTCGTTAAATGAAATGTAAAGCCGGCGACAAATGCTTTTATTCATTGATTAAATGCCTACGTTAAGTATTTAGTTCCTAATTGTACCGATATTTTATGCATTAATAGTATTTTATACGTTTATATGGGAGCATTGTACCATAATTGCGTTCTTTACTTAGTCTATAATTTTTTATTATGGGAAAACTGCGATTTCTTACATTTATAACGATGTTTTCACGCTAATTGATTGTTATCTGGGAATGTTAATTTAATATTTATATACTTATACCTAAGTTTATAACGAGATATTAAAATAACGTATAAACAAAACGAAACTATTGCCAGTGATAAGGGTGTCTACATTTTTATACTGATATGCTGATAAACCTGTTCTAAATGCCTACAAAATGCTATTCCTAGAAAATAACAATTTTAGTATAAAATGTAATCTATAGGTAAAAAGCTTCCGGTGCGTATTGATAAAAATTATTATTAGTGGAGGGAAAACCTAAATTTACTATAAAAAATTCATACGAATTAATTAAAAATTTTAAAGACATCCCATTACCTCATAACGCCAAATTTATTTCTTTTGATTGATTACAAAGTTATTTCCTAATGTATCACCAATTGAAACATTTAAAATAATACAAAATCTTCTGGACCTAAACAATACGGCCATTCCACGCGTAACGGATGGGACGGTTGCCAGTTTTTATTTACAAAATAACATTGTTCTATCATATTACTAATGTCAAATTTTTATAAATAGTTCTAAACAAAAGCTGTTTAACAAGGGTTTTATTTGGCAAAATTAGGTAGGTATCGTGGTTGACTGTTTAAATCCTTAAAAATTAATTTTTTTATTCAAAAAGACTACTAGTCTTGTTTATGAATAAAAAAAATAATTTTTAAGGAATTAAACAGACAACCACGATACCTAATTTTGCCAAATAAAAACCTTTTTAAACAACTTTTGTTTAGAACTATTTATAAAAATTTGACATTAGTAATATAATAGAACAATATTATTTTGTAGGTAAATAAAAACTTGCAACTGTCCCATCCGTTACGCGCGGAATGGCCGAATACCTACTAACCAATCAGAACGACGTCATAAAAACTATAGAAATATGTTTAAAACAAACCTACTTCCTATTTAATAATAAAATATGCACATAATGGCCTAATCATGGGTAATCCTCTAAGCCCATTATTAGCGGATATTTTTGTTAACCAATTCGAGATACCTGATTATACACAAACATCCATATATTGAACACGTCCTATATTGATACCAATATTTAGACAATATCCTATTCACAGAAACAAAACGACAACTAAATATTTTCATGAATTTTATAAAATAGTATTAAATTCACAATAGAAAAAGAAATAAATAACAAACAAACCCAGCTACACACAAAATAGCCTCATTTAACTCTATGGCCCATAGACTCTTAAACGTTCCATTATCAAAAATATAGTATTATAATTACGAATTAAATTTAATTAAACAAATAGCAGTTAACAACGGCTTTAATGCACACAACGCTATCAATAACGTTTTATCAATATCCAAGAACCCCATAAATACATACAATACAATATGTATAACAGCTGTACGTATCTAGGTAGGTACTAATATAAGACATTGAGACTATTTTTTTTCTTTAAGTTTAATTAATGCCCTTGGGTATCAAGTTTATACAACACGTATAATTTTTTATATATATTTTATATATATATATTTTTAAACCGTAGGTAAATAAAATAGTAAAATTTTAAAACAGTGATTCAGTAAAAGTCGAAACAATCAACAGTGAAAAAGGCAAAGATTTGCAAAACGGCGCAATATTTAAATTAAAGGACATTTTTACCTCCAATTTTTGTATACATATTAAGGTCCTTAAGAAAATTTTAGAAATAAAAAATGTAAAAAGATGATGTTTTAAAATAAAAATAAATACAAATACATATTTCTTTAAATTTGTTTACTTCTTTTTAAAACCCTTTTTTATCGCCATTAAAAATACGTAAAGGCTTATCTAGTTTTTGCCACATTTTTAGTAGAGCGATTTTTAAAAAAAGTATACAATTTTAAATGTATAAGTAGGTTCCGAAATAATAAACTTTGTAATTTTTAATATTCATTACTTTAGAAATTCTTAAAAAAGTGAAATATTGCAATGTATTTAAGTTTAAGATTTACCTAAAAACTAAAACAATCTTTAGTCAAAATAAATCGAGAAATAAATCATAAAAGAATTTTTCGATTATTATATAATTTTTACTTTTAAAAGTATGTAACCAGAGGTTAAAATTTTAAGTAAACGAGTACTTAAAATATTTACTCGTAAGTACTTTCCTCGGAAGTACATTTGTAAAGAGAGGTTACGGTTACGAGTAGTAATCGTGAAAACATGAGTAAAGAGTACGAGTACTTAAAAAAAAATGTTAGTTAATATAATTGAATATTCTTTATACATTATACAATGTATAATATGTATAATATACATACTTTGGTCCTGAGCTATAAAAATACAAATACAAACTTATAAAATTATTTATTTTAAACGTTAGGTACATAAAATAATAAATAAAAATACAATAATACAAAAAAATAAATAAACAATTATTAAATAGTTTATAATTTACCTATATATTTGTAATAAAAGCTATAGGCTATAATATATTATATTATACTATATATTACATAATTTAAAACAGACTTCCTAACAAAATGTTTTGATGCTTAGGGAGCGTTCAAGTTTTACTAGGGGGGGGGTACAGAAAAACGTTACGGCGCGTTACATGGGGGGAGGGGGGTCAACCGAGGGGTCAACAATCTCCAAAAATTGCGTTACGTAATACGTAATACTTGAATACGCTCCCTTACGAATTTTTGGCAAAAAGTCATAGATATAATAAACGGAAATACTCGTATATATTACTCGTGAATTCCACGAGTATTTTTTAGGAGTAGGTACACTGAATTTGGTTTGTACGAGTAATAAGTATTTTAAATGAAATATATATATATATATATATATATATATATATAAGTATACTTATGAGTACAAAAGTAATAGTACTTTTTTACTTGTAATTGAAATACCAGTAAAAGTACTCAGTACTTGGCCAGCTCTGTATGTAACTAATTAGTACAGATTTTAAGTTTACTTTCTTAAAATTCCTGCAGATTTCAATAAATATATTTTCATATTTTTAAAACTATTGTGCTATTCAAAAAACAAATATTTAGTTAAATCCTGCTTTTAATAGTAAAAAACGTTTTTTTAAATCGCATTTATATTTTTTCAGAAGATGCTCGGAATAAATTCCGCACATACATCAACACTCTCGCGCACACGAAAAAAGGGGAAAACGATGAAAAGTATCTTGTCCTAAAAACGAAATATCTAAATTCGCTAGAAGCAGGTCCTCCCTCTCCAAGTCCCTCCATGTCCTCTCTTAACCAGTATGACCCACGCAATTCAATTGGCATACCCCTTTCACCATCTGATTTTAGCCCCATGCGTGGGTCTACCAGACAACCTCCTCCCTATAGACCCCCTCCCCCCGTTGTTGCATCACCCAGTTTATCTATGGATAACGTGTCGATTTCTTCGTTTTCTTTGGATGGTACGCCACTGGCACCTCCAAGAAGAAGAAGTGCAGATAAGTTTAATATGGGTAAGTTTTTTTAAGTATTATATGAATGGAATACCTAAATAAGTATTTGATAAAGGTTGTATTTTCCTTGTTAATCATTTAAATATTATCAATACAACTTGAGATTTCTTTAAACTATTTATGAGTTTTCCCAAATAGGTAGAAAACTTGTATTGAATGTATTGCATATTTAAAATTTAATTTATCATAATTGAATCTATTACCAAATATTGTCAATCACCCTATAAGTAAATAATAAATAAATAGAGATTAAATCTGCATCAGTTGGGAAAAATTAGATAAGTCAAACTTTTCAGGGTAGCACTATGTATTTTTGTTCAGTGTATCGAGTTTTAAGGATATTTTTTTGTCCAATCATTTAGCTATTGACATTTTGACTTGACTGCCAGTGTACCCGTCTTATTTTGAAAAACATCGAATTATGTAGTTTCCTAATAAAGTCTTTTATAATAATTATTATTTTAAAATTAAAGAATGTAAAAATACTGTACTTTTTATCTTCAAGATATTGTAAAAATAAGTTTTTTATATAAAAGTTTTTCATTTTAAAAATCGTGTTTTTTAACGAAATAAAATCGTTTTTTTAGCTGTTATTAAGCGAACAATTTTTTTCCAAATTATAAAAAATTACATAAATTTTATGCACTTTAGGCCATATACGAGGAAATGTCTTATGACTTGAGTTCGTTATACTACTTTTTATATTTGTCAAAATTTAAAAAATACATGAATAATAATTGTAGAGCAAACATGCAAAAGCCGATAAATCCTTTTTAACTTATTCTGAGATATTGTCCAAAAATGTGTACAGTAGAGTCCAACAAATATTTAAAAACAATTAAAAGGGGATGCTCCTGTTGGGTTCTCTCTGTTTCAGTTTTTACTTAAAATGCTGTCAAAAGACTTGACCAAAATTAGTAAGAATAGGTACTATTCTCTTAAAATGTTAAAATGGATTTATCGGTTTTTGCATGTTTGCTCCACAATTGTAAAAAATTGTATTTGCATATTACAGTACGCTGTTGCCATGGACACAATTGCGTATCGTATTTTGTTCGTCTGGACCCCACAAAACGATTCACCTTTCCAGATATTGAGATAGACGAAATTTGAGCTCGATTAAACGACGTTAACCCGTGCCGCTCGTCGCTCAAAGTTTGAAAAAATTCAAATTTTTGGTCAAAAAGCTGACATATGGAGCCATAACTCCAGAACGGTAAATAATAAAAACCCGCTTAATATCTCAAAAGGAAGCTAATGTTGTTCTTCAAAATTTATATTCTATACATAATTGTTGTTATTTTAAGTCAAACAGAGTTACAACAGCCTTTGACCCCAAAAACGTGCCCTGGCAGCATTAGGAGCCAGTTTGGGTGTATTCTAAGAGTTTTACGGGTTTTTACATAATGTGTCTCGGATTAACATTTTTTATTAAAAACTATTTTGGAACTTAATTTTCAAACAAAAAGAGCCTTTTTTTCAAATATAGTCAGACTAATAGTCAGGTAATCCCCATATAATAAAAGATTAAATTTAAACAAAAGGCTCCTTAAAATTATTTTTACTATTTGCTCCAAAAATTATTATTTAGTTTTACCTGTGTGTATTTTACTAAATAAAGGTAAAGGTTAAGTTTTAACAAAAAATCAGGTAGGTAATTATATAATAAATATATTTTATTTTATACAATTATTTGCATTAACCCTTTTAGGAAAATATAAGACGGCCTATAGAGTGGTATGCTTATGTTTTACGGATAAAATGGCATCCACATCAGGTGTACAAAGCCGAACCAAGGATAAAATATTTCTTGTGGGCTATCCCATTCACCAAATCACCGGTTGTAAACTACCCTCAAATCGTCAAGTTTTGTGTGTTTATTTTATAATTTACGTGCTGTAAAATTAACTAAGAGAATCAGCAAAACTTGCCATACGAGAAGTGTTCATTTTTTGGGAGAAAGCTCGAATTCCGACTAAACATGAGCAAGATGCAATTACTAAGCTGGAAAAACTTTACGCCGAGTGGAGAACTCTTCAAAAAGACCGGAAGAAAACATCGGAAACGGCTAAGAACAAATTTAAACAGTTCGTTGAAAAGTTGGATGATCTCTTTGATATTGCTCAGCAAGATGCCTTGGCTCTGATGAAATCGGAAGAAGATAAGGCGTTTCTCGTGAAACAGAGGCAGAAGGGCCGCCCAGGTTCCACGACTGGAGTGGATCTCAAGTTGTCTCGAGCTGTAGAAATCAAGGGGCAAAAGGAACTTGCAAAAATGAACCGACAAATCCAAGAAGGTATTTGAATGCAGAGTTGGTGGGATTATCTTTTTTTGATCCCACCATTACAGACGATGAAAAGTTGTTAATGGCTAATAAATTGGTCAGTAGCACAGATGACCCATCAGAGCACGCTAGGGTTGTAAATCCAAAAGTTAGGAAAGAAAAATTAAAAGAGGTAGTTGATGGAGGATTGGTAAATTTACTTACCAAAGAAACATTTACATTCTTTAACCGATTTAATATAAAAACAGATTTCCTAAGACAACATCCAAACACCTGGCATCAAAATAATGACTTCCAAGAAGGATTGAAAATTGTCAAAACATTAAAGGTAGTTAATGATATGGCTGAGCGTGGTGTTAAATTAATAACCGACTTTAACAACCTTCTGACTAAAGATGAAGGCCAAAAGCAATATGTCCTGCAGGTTGTAACCAAATGCCGAGCATTATATCCTGACGTTTCAAAAACTACTTTAACAAAAGCTCTAGAATATATTAGATAACTATGTAAAATCAACTCATGTAGTTACTACGACTGTATCTTTTCTGTGTCTGTTTTGTATGTATTATATACCTAATTTTTATATTTTAAAATAAAAAATGTCATTAGATTTATCAGTATTACTTGTTTTTTTTATTATACTTCTACTTTAAACTCAAAAATATACCAAAAAAAGCAAAATTTATCACTTAATAACAAAATATACGAAGTATGCTCCTAGTGGTACCAGGTCATGTTTTTGGGGCTAAAGGCTGTTGTTACTCGGTTTGACTTAAAATAACAACAATTATGTATAGATAACAAATTTTTAAGAACAACATTAGCTTTCTTTTGAGATATTAAGCGTATTTTTATTATTTACCGTTCTGGAGTTATGGCTCCATATGTCAGCTTTTTGGCCAAAAATTTGGATTTTTTCAAACTTTGAGCGACGAGCGGCACGGGCTAACGTCGTTTAATCGAGCTCAAATTTCGGCTAACTCAATATCTGGAAAGGGAAATCGTTTTGTGGGGTCCAGACGAACAAAACTCCGACATTTTTTTCCACCCCCTATGAGTTGCGGTCACCCTAATATATATATATATATATATATATATATATATATTGGCCAAAAAAATCGACTATTTTTTTTTGGAAAGTATATCGAAAATATTGTTTGGGGTGACAAAAAAAAATTATGGTGAGAGTTTGAGTTCATAATATTAATATTAAGAGGTCTATCATCGCAATTTTAGATTTTTTTTCCTGAGCGAGTTTTTGTCTCAGAACTCATTGAGTTTAACAAAATTGACTTAAGAATATTTTTTGAAGAAAATTGAATGCTCTACAAAAAAGGTTTGATTGGAATTTTCCGTCAGATGAATCCTTTTCTTACAATCATGCCTTAAAAATTGGTATAGTTTTACAATTTGATCTTTTAACTTTGGAATTTTGTAATTCAAGTAAAAATCTGTACCCTAAAAAAACGATAAATATTCTTATGGGAAATCAAATGCTCTACAAGAAAAATTATTTTATCATTTTTGGCTAAATTCCATCAAAAGTTATTTAAGGTTAAATTTGAAGTCAAAACGAAATTTTAACCTTGAATAACTTTTGATTGAGTGAATTTAGCCAAAAATGTTAAGAGGCTTTTTTTGTAAAGCATTTGATTTCCCATAAGAATATTTATCGGTTTTTTATGGGTACTGATTTTTACATGAGATACAAAATTCCAATTTAAAAGATCAAAATGTAAAACTATAACAATTTTTAAGGCATTATTTTAAGGAAACGGTTCATCTTACGGAAAATTTCACTTTAACCTTTTTTGTAGAGCATTTAATTTTCTTAAAAAAATATTTTTAAGTCAATTTTGTTAAACTCAATGGTTTGGGAGTTGTGAGCCTAAAACTTGCTGAGGAAAAAAAATTAAAATTGCGATGATAGACCTCTTAATAATAATATTATGGACCCAAATTTTCACAATAATTTTTGTTGTCACCTCAAACCATATTTTCGATATATTTTTCAAAAAAAAAATAGTTGATTTTTTTGGGCCAGTCTAATATATATACAAATAGAAAATAGTACCTTTATTATGTATCAAGTATTATAAACGCCATTTTAGTTAGTTTAATTAGGTACGAACGATGCGAGCAAGTGTTGCGAGCAACAGTACGATACATGGCAACAGTTCACTCGTCCATTACAAAACTCGCAAACTCGTAAATTGTCTTCGTGGGAAAAAATTACGTCTTATCACATTAGTTCTTTAATAATTTAAAACCAATTTTATTTTTTAAACATTAGACAACTGTCAAATGGATTTAATCTTATTTTTTTCCCAATTTAGAATAAAGCTAACTTCAGCCTGTGACTAAACTTCCTAAAAGCTACTGTTGCTACCTTCAGCCCTTGACTAAAACGCCATAGTCACAACTCGTCAATGTAGAAGTAGATAATAGTATATTATATATCAAGTTTGATATTTTAGTCACGATTTTTATTAAACCCTTATTCTGCGTGGGAATCTGTAACTTTTTAATACTTTTTTATTTTTATATTAAAATAATTTGTATATTTAGTATTATTTTACAAGAATTGGCAGTTTTATGACACTTGACAACTGTTAACTAACTTCAGCCCGTGACAAAAAGGCCATAAAGCCACAAACTTATATTACTTGACAAGATTTTTTACTTTAATTTTAATTTTAATAAGGTAAATTTAACA